CGGAATTAGAGTAAGGTGGTTCTCAGCTGAGACTGCCTGTAAAAAACACCCTGTGGCTTTACTTCCATGCTACAGTCCTTGCTTGAAGAGCTCCTGTTGTCTCCAGAAAGGAGAGATTTCTCCCAGTGCACTAGTCAGTGGTGCACAGCTGCCTTCTCTGTGGAAAATGGTGGCCTCACTGTCTCTGATGTTTCCTTCCACACTACCCAATTTAGAAATGACCTGTTGTGCTCTTCTCCTCTCCCTCCACCCTTGCCCCCAGCCATGCAATTGAAAATTGTTGCCAGATCCCCTCCTTCCTCTTAATCCCCCTGGCTGATCTTTCGATTTTAGCTGGGCAGGGGATGAATTAGTATCTGCTTGTTGGCACAGGGAAGAGCTGAAGGAGTACACGCCAAAGACCCTGCAGTCCTCCATCAGTCCCCAGGCTCTGCAGAACCATGTTGCCATGCTGCTGAGAACCCGGCAGCCCCTCCAGCCAGTGAATGCAAAAATCCAGTTCATAGGTGAGGAGACATTCAGATCTGCTTGAGTCGTCTATCCTGAGCATGATGGAAGCTGCTTTGAATGTGCTTTTGGGACAGTTTATGAGGTTGGCGAGGATCCTTGGAGCCTGGAATGGGCCATGACATATGACTCCCAGATAGCCTCCCCCTGCAGACTGGCACTTGTTCCCAAACACGGTGATCATGGTAGAAGTCCCATCTCTTTTGCAGAAGTCTGCAGTAGATTTTCAGAGCTCTGTTCAAGTTGTGTTTTAATTGATATTCTGGCTGCACATCTGTTTCTGGTCGGAAAAGAACAGGACATCTATTCAGGCTGCTGAGAATTGAGTATAAGCAGCCTGGGAGGGAGGGAGGAAGAAGTTGTCAATCTTACTTTTTAATGCAGAAAAGCTTGGGAACACCTGCAGCTTTTGACCACCTTAGGTTGGTGCAATAGATTGCTGGCTGGAAGCTGCTGCCTGAAAGCCACCTTTTGCTTTCTTACAGAGCACGTGATGAAATTGCCTTTCTTTGGCTACAACACCTACTTTGTAGAGAGAGTCAGTGATGACACAATCCCTGTGCCCTGTTTCTTTGGTGTGAATAAAGAAGAGATCATTGTGGTGGATGGCATCACCCAGGTATGCCAGACAATTCCTCCTTAGAGTCCAGAGCCCTGATGTCTGTCAGATGTTAACTTTGACTTTTAGAAGAACTTGTGCAGGAAGAGACTATATTTACCTGCCTCACAGCCACTCTAACAACAGGCCTAGCCCAAAGCAAGTGACAAGAGTGGTAGAACAGTTAGTACTGCCATGTGCTCTTTTGTAAGTCCAGTGATCATGCTAACAAGCATGGTCCACAGTAAAACTAAGTGTAGGTCACATTCCTGTTTGCCCCAATCTTGCAGGAGTTCTAGGGACATGCTGGCAGCAGGAGCTTGCCCTGTATTCTCTATACACTGCCCTGTGCCCCAGTCTTTGTCTCAGCTTTCAATATGCTCTTGAGGTGAATCCTCCTTGGTGAGAATCAGATGGTTTTATTTGTAAGGACTGCACCAGAGAATGTTTTGTGGCTTTTCTCCTTACACAGGCAATCTCCTGCGTCATTCCATTGAAAGAGCTGCAGAAGATGCGAACCCTGCAGCCTATCTCTGCTGCTGGGCTTCCTGGCATAGAACTGAACTATGGCTCGGCTGCCAGCCCCAAGACTATGTGGCTTGAGCTGTCACAGGTGAGATCAGCCTGGACCTACAGCTTCCTCCTGGCAATTCAGAAATTGCCCTCCACTGCCCAGCTGGGCCTCTGCTAAGAGACAGTACTACTGCTCTCTTCTGTCCCAGAGGTGGATGGGGGCACTGCATTTCCGAGGCCCCAAAGTGCAGCTTTGTCCCAGCACTTACCTGATATTTAATTATGGAAAGTGATTTATGGGAATATTTAATTATGAGAAGCACACATTTCTGGGGCAGAGAATGACTGATACTGATTTGTGTTTTGACAGGCTAAAGAAATGTATCACACGATTGTTGTCATCCTGGATAAAACAGAGTTGCACCACTAAAGCCTAAGAGGAGGAGAATGACCAAGCAAAACAGCACTGTTTTTCTTTCTTGGAGCTTTCTTTCAGCTTGTTCAGTGCTCCCTGCCCTGCCTTCTGGAGAGGACTCTTCCAAAAGACATCCATGACCTCAGACAGCTACTTTCTAAGACTGCCACCAGTGTTTGTTGATGGACTGGACCATAATGTCATTCCTTGTGACCTGCCATTCAGTCCCCAAGTACTCTTCCTTGAAGTGATGCATGCACTGGCTAAACAAACCACAAGACACCCTTTCCACACCATTGCTTTTTCATAGCCTGTTCCAACATAGAGCAGCTGAACAGATGCAAGCAATTGCCTTCAAGCTATGCAGTGTGGGACTCTGAATTAATTAACATGAGCAAAGACTGATGCTTACTAGGGATTTGTGTAACACAATGCAAAGCTGAGGCTATGAAATGGCTGCACTGGCTGCTGGTGTTTTCCATAGGCCAGCTTTTTCTCTGTATCGATATGCAAGAGGCCCCTGTAGCAGGATTTGTGAAGCAGGAGCTTGTAGAAAGCATCTTAACTGCAAAGCAGATTAGTGTTAACATACAATTAACACATATGCTGGGGCACAGATTGAGCTGCAATGGTAAGAAAGTTTGTTAATTAATTTCTTACTGACATAATTATATGCTTATATTTCCCTCTACTATAAAGAAGTCAGTCATGTCCATGCAGCTGTCATACTTAAATGATGGCTCAGTGCCCATGGAGAAAGCGTATTCAAATGGAACTTGTATTACAGTAGAGAAGAGTGTCCTGGGTTGTACAAAAATGCTTAATTTATTTTTGTTGCTACAGCTATCCTACTGAACTGAAAAGTATCTGCACTTTAGGAGATTGCTATAAAATAATCACACAGAGATATGGCAGATACTGGTTTACATCTAACATGGGAAGATTGACCTGCAGGTAACCGGCAAAGCTTGAGGAAAAGGTTGTCACTGTTGGCTGGGAATGGGATAGATCTGCGGGTGCTCAATGCAAGCCATGATGCACAGCTAGCTTCTTGCTGGTGAGCTGATGCCAGAAGTAACTACAGCATCTTCACTGTCAGGAACTTCCCTTCAGGTACTGCTCACTGGCAGCACCTTAGATCTTAGCTGAAGCACATTCCACCCTCCTCCTTCAGAAGCGCTACTGCAAGGCTAGGTAAAGCACCACAGCGACATGAAAGAAAGGAATAGAGAAGGTCTCTGAAGATTAACTTATCCTTATTCCCCTTCTCTTTCTCTGAGCTTTTGCTGCCTTACATAGAAGCACAACTCATCTGATTAGCAATGTCCCACATTGTGATAAAGCACTTTGACAGTGATTTAGAAGATAAACAAAGCATTTCTGAGAAGTTCACCCAGGCAGCAGCTGAACTCTGGAGCTTTAGTAACCACACTTAAGTGGCTGATGAAACAGGATTTTTAATGGGAAGGTAAAATAGAAGCCAGCAGGCAACAGCTGAAAAGTACTTCTATTGTGTAAAAGGCTTCTTGTAAAGCCTTTTGTCCTCCAGTGAGCAGAGCAAGCTGAAGATGAAAGTGACTTTTGAGTTAAACATTTCCAGGTTTCCTTCTGGTTCTAGCTGGAGAAGTCCTGCAGCTATAAGGGGTTGAAGGTGTCTGCTGGCACATGCTTCCTATCCATCCCATCCCAGGCTGGCATTTATTAGCTTTCTGTTCAGTTAAGAAATGAGCTTGCATGTCTATGTTCACAGTGCTGGAGTCTCCATGTATCTTAGACCAGTCTGTATGATTAATTGGTAAGAAAAAGCTTTCGGGAAGAGTCCACAGCAGCTATAACATTGTTTTATTGTCAGTTCCACACATACCCTTCAGTACATTTAAAAAAAAATACATCTGTTGAGTACAGTGATCTAAAAGCCTGTTTGATGGCTTCTCAGGCTGCAGATTCCTCTAGTAGCGCTAGTGCCTGAGGCCGCCAGCCTTTTTAGGCATGGAATAAAGGCAGAACCCAACAAAAACCCAACAGAAAGGACTTGTGCCAGGGAATCAGGTTATTTGAAGCCCACTGATAACCTAAGGTTCAGGTCCTTTATATAAATATAGCAGCAGAGGCACTGCAGTGTCAGTTTGAGGGCCACAGCAGTACCTTAACCAGTTATAACAGCAGCATTGCCTTCTGTATTGCAGACTGTGAGTGAGGCACAGGGGGCAAATATGGCTTTAGGGTTTACAAGCAAATGCTGGAAAAGTGTTGGCAACCTTGATGCTACTATTGGAGAGGTTAATACTGAAAGAGCATCACCGCTTAAGTTAAAGGGCAGGCAGAACTAGACAAAGTTAAAAAAAAATTCAGATTAAAAGAAAAAGAATCCCAGTTTCTCCACCTTCAGAAGGTAGGCATTGCTTCCATGGTAAAAACAAAATGCTCCCCTCCTGCCCTTCAAGGGAAAACATTCCATCCAGGAACTCAATCATCAAGTTTGTCAGTGGCAGCCCTGAGCAAATCATGTGAACTTGTAGCATAAGGCTTCTATTGGTAACACTGAAATAAAAACTAAGAGATGGGGAAGCGAGGGGAGGAGCCATCTAGGAAGCAAGATGCCATCCTAAAGCAGAGTCCCAGTTGGAAAGTCTGAGCCCTTCCCAGACTGCTACAGGGAGTAGAGGTTGGAGACACTGCAGAACATCTGAGGCAGCAGCCCCTAACCTATCCAGCAGATGCAGACTTCACACCTCTTGGCAAGAGGTACTAGAGGGCTTCAGCGCCCTAGTTATTGCAGAAACTCTCCAGAAGTTCACAGAAACTGGTTTCCTGGAAGTGCATGTCACTAAGGACAGAAGTGAGCAAAAACGCAGTGGGAAAAGAAAGCTCACTTCTGCAGTTTCATGAAACCCTCCACGGCTGAGTTCTTCAAGATCCCCTGGTCCCACTGCTGGAGGAAGGAAGACAGCCATCATGATGCAAGGATCAGCTCTCTGAGCTCTGCAGCTCCTGCCAGTCTGTCTCACTCTCACACCTGACCCTTGTTTTGAAAAACTCCTTGATGAGTCTCTGTGCTTCCTCCTTCACTGCAAGAGAGGAAGCACCACCTTTGAGATGATACTTAAGACATCTGTCTCCTCTAAAGACATCAATACATTTAGCATCAGAAGAACCCAAGATTCTAGGTGCTCTCTCCATCTGCTAACTCACCAGTCTTGCGGACAGGGTTCTGCTCTTCAGTCAGTAAGTGAGACAGGTGCCGAGCAAAGCCCTTAAACAGATCCTGCAGAATTGGGGAAGATAAAAGAGCAGAAGGCAGACATTGGTTACCTCACCAGACTGTTTCCACATTTGTCTTGCCCTTAGCATAGGCTGGCTCTAGCACAAACCATTCATAGCTTTAGACTACAGGAGTGTTGCAAACCTGCAAATACGCCTGACCCTGCAGTGCTGGAGAAGCACATGCACACATATGCTGCCTTGCAGAACACATCAAGTAAACTACAGCAGAATTGAACCTGATCTGTTGCCACTCCACAGATGGGAGTTTTTAAAAATTTCCCAGAGTTTAGTGTGAAAACACAAACAATCACAAACAAATGTGGAACCAAGATGATACCACTCTAAATCACACACAAACCCTTTCTTGGGAGAGGTGAGTTGCTGCACCTAGAGTCACTGAAACAGCACATACAAAGATGTGACTTGGAAATGAAATGTGGTATCCAGATCATCTTCCCCTTCTTAGAGCCCCAGGGAGATGCAGTCTCCTTCTGCTAGAGAGGGTCTTGAGCTGTGCCCTACCTTGGAAGCAAATTTGCCACCCTTGTAGAATGGGGTCAAATATTTGACAACGATGTCTGCTGTTTCTTTGAGGGACATGCCTTTGGTCGCTGGCTGTACAGTCTTGCTGATTCCTTCTTTATCACACTGTGATAAGTTCGGATCAAAAGTCACCTTCTTCTTTATTGGACCAACACTTTTGCTTTCTGGCTGGGACAGAATAGAAGATTTTGCCACTGTCCGTAGCCGCTTTGTTGCGGGACTTTCCATATCCTGGAGATGGGACAGAAGAAAACCAAACCCACCAATTCCTGTGGCAGCATTACACTTCCAAGCAGCCACTACCTTCTGAGAACGTGAATCTTTGCAGCATCCCGCAGGCTCTCACTATAGTGAATGCCATGCAGGAATCTATGTAACCCATTTTGCTGGGCAGACATAATACACAAGGGGACTTTAAGAAAAACCCTTTAAGACTACCTCATTTAGAATTACCCTATGGTCTTATTAGGGCAGCTAATTGCTAGACCCCATCCTATACAGGAAAAACTGACGGGAAAAGAGTGGATGTCTGCTGAGAATACATCCCTCAGGAAGAATCAACCACTTGAGTGCCACACTCCTGCTCAATTTGAAAGAGCAAGGAGAAAACTGCACTGTTCAGTAGAGACAGCTACCAGGCAGTCTCAGATGCCAAATACAGAGCCAGAGACTGAATGGCAAGGAAGTCTGTGAGCATGGTTTGCTTCTGAGTGGTCTGTGGTTGTTCTCTTGAGAAAGCAGCTTGCTAATTATAGTTAGTTACAGACCTCGAGGGCATGGAGAGACTCATTCCAGGCAAGTCATCAGCAAGGGTACAGTCACATGTGTTGCAGAGAAGAGGAAACAAAGCAGAGTGGAGGGGAAGCTTTCCACTACAGTCTTCAGTTGCTGGCACTGGCCCAGTGGGCGGTAGGGGGACACCAGGACTGCAGCCCAACTACAGTTCTCCTCTCTGCTGCAATTGCAGCTGAGCCCTCCCCAGATAAATAACACTATCAGGTGAAGTTCAGATCAGGAGAGAAACTTGGCACAAGATGAGCAGAAGAAAGAGAGGAAATTAGCATCCATTAAAGTCTTACCTCATTTGATCCTGGTCGCTTCCCACACTCACCTTCCCCAACAACAATTAGCTCAGTTTCTGCAACATTTTCAGCAACGCTAGTGGGAAGAGTGAAGAGAAGGCCAATTTTAATCATTCCACAGTGAAGGTATTACTGCATTCACTGCTAGTGGCCACGAGACTCTCCATGGTGAAGCAAGAGTCTCCCTCACCAGCCTAGAGATCTAATACAGATTCCCAGTTTCCAGGACAAGGCTGGTGGGGCTCTGCAGCTCGTTAACAGGGCAACACAGGGAACAGAGAGGTAGAGATTTTACCTGGATTTTACATCAATTTCTTCCTGAAAGAGTTCAGATTCATCAGCCTGCTGAGTCTTAAAATCCTCCTCCCTCTCAGTCAGTGTTACTTCTGTCTCTTCCAGCTCTTCATTCTCTGCCTGCGACTGCCCAGTCACATCTTCTCCAGAGACATCTTTGTTTTCCTGAGGTATTGATTTCTCTTGACACATGCTTCGAGAAGAAACTTGAGGTAGTGTGCTTGCAGAACAGCCATCTTCCTTTGCTGAGCTGCAACTTTTGGCTTTACACCCACCTTTGGGGAGGGAGAATAATTTGGAAATATCCTGTGATTCTTTTTTGGCCGCTTCTGCGAGCATTTGCTGCTTCTTGCTAGGTTTGGACTTCTTAATAGGGATATCCCAAAGGGCAGCTTTTGTGTCTGGACTGGGTTGCTGTCCCTTCTTTTCAGGAAGGAATACTTCTAGCCCAGCACTCTCACACATTGCTTTGGTTGCTATTTCTTTCTTCTGGAGAACAGGGTTTCTGGTGTCCGGTTCCAGACTGCAGTTGCTGTTGTCTTGCCCGTTTGGACAATCCACTTCTTTTTTCACAGGCTTTGCATCACTATCCTCCTGGATCTTCAGCAGTTCTGCAGCTGTCTGGAACAAGTTGGATTTCTTTGGAAATCCTGCTCCCACACGCTTGGGTTTGAACTAGGGAGAAAGGAAGAGGAAGAAATTTTGGATATGAGAGCATTAAGGAAGCCCTGTGTGCAGAACCCTGAAAGGACCTAAGTTTCTGTATACAATACACAGTGTGTACAGCCGTAAGCTGGGGAAGGCTCTAAAACTGACTCATCATCATAACCATCAACTGAGACATGAGGGAAATGGATTAGATTAAAGTCACAGACCTGCAGTAAGGAAACAGACAGCATCCTTGGTTAGAGCAAGACGAGAAAAACTTTTTTGACATATGGCCTGCACATAGATTATATTCACTAATAGGATCCAGCATGACTAGTTGATCTCACACCAAAACCAAAGGACTGACAGGGAAAGCAATTCCAATAGAAACATACAGTTATGGCCACACAAAGGACCTAAAATAAAATCATAAAAAAGCAGATAGATAAAGCACACCATTCCCTCCTTGTGTATCCTATCCGTACTCACTCACCGAGTAAACCTGGGATGCAGGGAGGAAGTCCTCTTCTGCTGGAGACCCAGATTTTGTTTCTAAGTTGCTGTTGCCACCAGTTCTGGACCCAAAGACTGAGAACAGCTCTCCTTGTTTTGAGGCTTTGTTGATTTCTGCTACCTAAAAAGACAACAGTAATGTTCTCTAATGGCCAGAAATCTTTTATTCATTCCTGCCTCTGTACACACTAAAAGCCATAGTGGCAAAACATATGTCTCCCCTGGAGAGACACCTATCTCAAGAACAGAAACATCTTCAGAGAGACTTATTGCAACCAGCTAACCTAAACCAAGGCTTCTGTATTGTCAGCAACACTCTGAAGAACACCCCATTCCCTTTATTGCTAGACCTAGAGGATATTTTGATAACCTTGCACTGGTATGTAGGTTTCCAAAGCCTGTAAAGCCAACAAAGATGTGAAACCAATGTGATTCTGGGCCCTCCTGGAAACAAAACCAAGAAGAAAGATTTGGAAGACATCCAAGGCAAAGCAGAGCTTCTCCTTCATCTTTTCCACACAAACTCTACCCTATTTCCCCTTGAGCTGAGGCCACAGCACATTCAAGGGAACAACTGCAGATGTATGGCCCTACCTTCTTTAGCACAGTTGCCTTGTATGAGTTAGCCATTTTACTGGTTCGGAAAGCTTCATACTCCAGCTCCACAGCACAGGCATGAGGGTCTGACCTGTAACACAAGCTGGGGTAATTTCTGGCAAGACACACTTCTATGTCTGCAAAGGGAAGGCTAATGCTTAAGCATCTCCCAAGAAAGTATAAAATTCACTCCCTCCAGTGCAAGAGTAAGTGATAACTTCCAATTACCGCCTAAGAGATGCAGTGGTGAATTGCTGGAGAACGGAAAGGGTGGTGAAAACAGTTTTAAATCAAAGTCCTCCAGTTGCTCAATTTGAGAAGTACACTACCCCCATCTTGTGGGACAGGGAAGAATTGCGACTCCTAGGATCAAGCTGATTTAGCAGAATCGGACACAGGAACCTCGTATCTGATCCTGAACAACACTACAGGAAGGATGCTGTTAAGTGAAACTACATCCTTGGACCAAATAATTTAAAAAGGTATTCCCTGAGAGTGGTAATGTTGCTCAGGGAAGAGTAGGTGCTGTGTTAAGGGACTCAATACGCTACCCCTTTTCTCTCATCTCATACCGTTTTCCTCCTGCTGCTGGAACCTTTTGATTGGTGCTCAACGCTTCTTCCAGCATCTTCAAGCAGTGTTCCCGTCCCTAGGAAACATGGGATGCTCAGACATGCTCTACAGAAGTCATAGTGCCCCTCGGACTTCCATCCCTGAAGGAGTAAGAACAGGGCAGGCAGAATCTTTGTGGCTCTTTGCAAGTTAACAGGACTGAATGTTAACCAGCCTTTCTTACCTTTA